AGAACTGTATTTCGTTCTCGTAATTTCTTTAAATCTGTCCTTCATTGGATATAACTACTTTGATCATTTGCTACAATGTCGATGGTGTGTTAATTAATCCAGGACACTCCCAAAAATTCTAATTTCATCGCTTACTGCTTTTTTTGTACAAGATAAACACGCAAGGTAGTGTATGGCACTGTAGTTTATAGAGTTTTCATGCTCTGCCCTGCAGTACACCCGAGTACCCGAGTCACTAGTGCTTGCCACTTTTTCTTTAGGAATTCGAGAAAAGCATTTATTCTTTGACTTTTTCCCAGGCGCGTATGATTTATCGAGAAATCAAATTGTTGCAAATTATGAGGCACGATGGTGTAATACGGGCGATTGATCTCTACACACCAAACACAGTGGAGCATGAGTTTAAGGATGTGTGAGTAAAATTTACCTTCAATTTTGTTTCATTTGAGTGTCTATTTTCCGAGGCTATAGAAGATGGCTGAATTAATGCGGGTTTTTGTCTTCTGACTATATTTTTCCCTTTTCATTCCGACATCTTTAACTTTTTCGTTTTTCAATTGTTTTTGCAAATTGATATAATTAAATGATAAGACATTACATTGTCCATCTCTTCCACAAAAACAAACGAATGATGTTGCTTCTATACATTGCCCTAAAAGTGAAAACAGTTGTTTAGATATGTCGTTACGGAATTCGCTGGCGAAAGCATTGTGAAGATATTGCATGATCAGAAAGTTACCGGTAGGACCCACATTACTCCAGAGCACGTTCCTTTCATCATTTACCAACTGCTGAGAGTGCTGAAATATATACACTCGGCAAATGTGAGTTAGATTTATTTGGGAACTTTCCGAAGATCTTGTTTTCCTGCTCTTAGATTATTCACAGAGATCTGAAACCAGGGAACTTAGCCTTAACCTGTGATAGTGACCTTACTGTTTTGGATTTTGGCATGGCACGCTCACTGGAACGTACGGAAACTTCTCTAACTCAATATGTGATGACACGCTGGTATCGTAGTCCTGAAGTGATTTACTGGAATATTGACGGCTACAACGAAAAAGGTTAGTGAATTTGTGTATATTTAGTTTTCCATTCATTCAACATATGAATATCTCTTTCCTTTTTAATCACCTAATTTGTTTTTTCTATCTTTTTGTCGTGACTTCTTGAAAAAGAGGAAAGCGGTAAGCGTTTTAAGTGGACGTCTGGTCGGTTGGTTGCATCACTGCTGAGCTTATGCTAGGAAAACCTCTCTTTCCGGGAGAAGACAGTGAGTATATTTGATATGGAGCCTTAGAGGTAGCATCAGTGATCGTCGTTATTTAGCAAATGCCCAGTATGAGATGATAACAACTTTATGTGGAAGTCCGGATGAAGAGCTCATGAGAAAGGTTCGTACGCTATTAATAGCTTTATATTCTTTCCCAACAAAAATCGCTGATGTTTGCGTAAGATTGCAAAGCACGTGTTAAATTGATTATCTCTCTTTCCTCGTTCACTGAACTTCACTGCCAGTAAACTCATTTTTAATCTAGACGGGCGATAGAGTTAGTGAGATTCACCGTTGATTCCATAGTGGTCAACATGAAGTAACCCTTTTGCCAAACATATTTCAAAATTTTGTTTTTTCATTGTGTAGATCCACTTACAAGGTGTTTCATGGAACCTGCTTTTGTTAGCTACGGATCTGATTATTGGCATCATCCTTGGAACCTTCACGACTTTTTAAATTAATTTCAAAACAACTCCGTCTTTAGAAAGGTAGAAGGACATTTGAAGCATTAAAGTAAAATCTGATACGCTGCCTAAAATAACTTTAACTTCTCATGATCGCTGCTCATTCTTTTTTCCGCACATAGAACCGGGAACAATATGTACCAGTTCTAATGACGATTTCGATGTATGTGGAGATGTGTGGGTGCATTGTGATGCTTATCACAAGACTGCATTTTTGGGCCATTTTACAAAACTTTTCTCTTAATGAGGGCTGTCAGCTTCTTTACGATATTTTAGCAATCTTGTAGATCTATAAATGTCAGCCCAAACAGATATTTCCTTAGAAGTTGCGACGGGGTAAGCGCGTACCTCCTGTAAATGAGGTCACGTCGAAATTTTTGCACCCGTTGGAAGGGGTCGTCGACAGAGGTAAGAAAGGGAGAGGAAGAAAGAAAGAAAGAAAGGGAAAGAACAAACGAAGAAGAACAAAGAGAAAGGTTACATTAATATGGAAGGGGATTGAGGGTACTGCGAAGATTGAGGCAACTCTATCATTAACGTAGTAAAACTCCAGACAGA